TCTTTGTTAGCACAAAAGTTTCATTTATTAACCTATGCAACTGGAAATGCTAAGCTTTTCTGCGAGAGATCTGTACTACAATCTATTTGTGAGGTATTAAGTTGAAATCAGGCTTCACCTTTTGTTGTCCACCTCTTGCAGGAGTATGGGGATTACTGAAGCATTGCGGTTGCAGGTGGAGCTCCAAAAGCGGCTTCACGAACAACTTGAGGTATGCAGTTGGAAGACAAAGATTGCCTTCTCTATTTTCTGTTTAGAATGTGTAACAACTGTTTGCTTGTTGGGAACTGGGTAGGGTGTAAAGAATCAGTGTAATTTACATCTTGAGAGTTTAGTTTTGCTTCTTGTTTAAATGAGTTTTATTGAATAATAATTTAAATATTCTGTTGATGATTCCATGCCTCTCTCTCTCTCTCTCTCTCTCTCTCACACACACACACACACACATATAGAGATGTGGACACACATGGGGGAGGGAGAGAGTGTGTATTGGTTGTTCACTTGTTCGGATGTCATATTTAATTCTTGCAGAACCAAAGAAAGTTGCAGTTGCAAATTGAAGAACAAGGAAAGTACCTTGAAAAGATGTTTGAGCAACAGAGAAAGATGGAAGACAGCAGGGTGAAGGCCGCATCATCCACTGTGGATGACCACGCTACTCCACCATCAAATCTTGTGTGTCCTTCTTCTGGAGAGGATAAACCAGAGACCTCCAAACATGACCATGAGAAAACACCAATAAGCGCTAGTAGTACGAGCACTCCCTTGGAAGAAGGTTCACAAGATGCAAATAGGAAGAAGCAGAAGGCACAAGAAACCGAAAGTCAAGAGGAGCCTGACCACCCAGTTGATGTTGAGTCTGGTACCCAGCCCACAAAACGTGCCAGGAATGGATGAAGCAGCGGTATAATCAGTTGATGTGCTTCGTATTGAAGTCTTATTATGCATTTTGCTGCTCCAGGAGTTCTCCCGTCCTTGTTTTGGTGGTTTAAACTATAGGTCATGGTTGACCAAAACATAAAACCTTAGTCCATGAGTTTCCTGATTAGCATTCTCTGACTAGGGATGGATTCTTTCTTTCTACGTTGAGAAATGTCACCACCACCTAGAATGATGGGTTTACTTTTTATGCTTATGAGTCACTATGAGATGCTTACTATTAATTATCAGATGAAATTGTTCAAAAGTGAATGATTTTTTCTCCTCCTCAAATATGACCATCAGAATCATGTATGTTAATGTACAGTAAGTACTATAGATTAATCTTCCATTATCTTTTTGGAGCACAATCTAGATTTCTCTTTAGCATCATTGATAATCTGAATTTATCTATATTTTGTTTGAAGAATGGTAAAATAAGCATCACAATGGAGAAGAAAAAGAAATTGTTGAATTTTTTTGGTTATCACACCCACGCATGATTGCTCCCTCCATCTGGTACATGCGCTGGGCTGACAAGAAAATTTGGCCTGAGCTAAAAGCATTTCCATCCATTTTCATGCAAAGGGTAAGGGTAGGCAAGGATTGTTACTATTTATGTGAAAAGTGCTAGTCCTTGCAAAAGGCAAGTGTTTCTATCAATTGCCGTGGTAAAGAGCAATTACTATTTACTTTAAATTATTTTTATTTTATACTTAAACGATTAATTTGGTTAAGATTTTCGGTTGCCGTGTGTCAATATTTATTGTAAAATTCATCTCATATTTCAGATAAGATTTTTGGTTGCCACGTGTCCATATTTATTATAAAATTCAAATATCAAATTTTAGATAAGATTTTTAGTTGCTACAATTGTGCCATGTGTCATCTTTATATTCTAAATCCCTTTATAAAACCACACCCTCAACTCAGACCTCTCACACTATATCCTCTTTATCCTTTCATTTCTCAGATTTTAGAAAACGCATTCTACTCTAAATATCTTACACGAGGTTGTTGGAGAGTGCCGAGCGAGAAAATTAAGAAAGAATGCATAAACAAGCTGAAGAAGAAAAGGAGTGGGAAGAAGATGATGATCAAGTTGTCATGGTAGTGAGTATACTTCATCAATCAAGAAAACACCACTGTGGTTCACAACCCAGTCATGGCCCGAACATAAATAGACGTAGGCACTCTTGGGGTAAGAATCTCTTGAAAGATTACTTTATTCCAAATTCGTTGTACTCTAGTTTTGGTTTTCGAGGGCGATATAGAATGCAATTCCATTTGTTCAATAAAATCATACATCATGTTTGCAATTATGACACATACTTCGTTCAGAAGTATGATGCTACTAGGGTTTTGGGTATTCTTCTAGAGCAAAAACTTACAGCTTCTTTACGGATGTTGGCGTTTGGCGCATCTGCAGACCAGGTGGATGAGATTGCTAGGATGAGGAAATCCACTATCCTAGAGAGCTTAGTCAGATTCTGTGATGTAATCGAAACTCTCTACATAAAGGATTACCTCCACAAACCTACACCTAGGGACCTCCAAAGGCTTTTATAAAAAGTCGAGCCTCAAGGTTTTCCAGACATGATTGGAAGCATTGACTACATGCTCTGGTAGTGGACAGATTGTCCAACTTCCTGGCAAGAAGATTATGGGAATAGGAAGGGCCAAAAAATTATTATTCTGGAAGCCGTTGCATCATTCGATACTTGGATTTGGCATGCCTTTTTCAGAGTTGCAGGATCTCAAAATGACCTTAACATGCTCGATCAATCCCCTGTGTTCAACAATGTGTTGAGAGGTCAAGTCCCTCAGATCGAGTATGAAATCAACAATGCCATCTATTCGGGTAGGTACTACCTAGCAGACGAAATTTACTTAAGGTGGACAACATTCGTCAAAACAATTCCACATCCCCAATTTTAGAAGGAAAAATACTTTGGTGTCTATCAAGAGGGTTATAGGAAAGATGTGAAAATGTGTTTTGGTATCCTCCAAGCTCGGTGGGCAATCATTAGGGCGTCTGCTCATATGTTTGATGGAGAGATGCTTCGGCATTATGATGATGTGCATCATCCTTCATAATGAAATACGAGTATATGCACGATCTCTAAATGCAGAGACACTTAAAAAGGAAGATACTCCCTTTATTTTATCGTTGGGTTGGGTGGGCGATGGCTGATGTTTGAAAACAACCATGTCTGAGACCTCTAGAAATAAAAGGATTTCGACACAACTTATCCCATATATTTTAAAATTGTTATTATTAATAGTTTAGTTATATTAAAGAACAAATACTTCATCAATATGAGCCGTTGCATTGTTTCGTGCAGCAACATTCTTGCAAGAAGCTTGGCCGAAGGTGAAATCTGCTTTAAAAGAGCATGGTATCATATGCAGATTGGATGTGGTATGTCATAATAAATTAATGTTGTTTTTGAAATATCTACTCTTGATCAATCGGTGGTTGATTCAAATTATGAACTTGTTTTGTTTTTAATCATGTATGGTCAGGTTTTTGGTTACATAACAATCAAAACAACCAAGACTACTGACCCGGATATTATTGTCAGGGCCAAGCAGCTTAGTTCATCTCTTATCAATACGTATTCCGGTAAATCAGGTACAAACGGTAGTTAACTCTTCGTTATTTGTGTTTCTCATCTGCATCATCCTTCCTTTCTTATGAGTTATATATTCTGTGGTTTGAATATGAGTTTGAAGTAGCTAGCTGCTGCTAAGGCAGTAAGGTGTTAATGCATTTGTAGTTTCAACTTTGAAGGCAACAAACAGCATAGCATATTGGCATACTATTAAATCAATATTGGTTTGATTTCAGGCAATTAGAGTACTGACACTGAGTGATACGCACGGCGACATCATCCAGCTTGGGGATGAGGAAATAAGTGGACTTTGCTCAAAATTTGGTGTCACGCAGGTGGGTATTGCTCATTTATTTGCTTATATATAATATAATATATTGCCTTTTCCTTTTCTTTTCTTTTTCGATTGCAGCCTTTTGATTTCAGCCTCTCTTTCTTTCGTTTTGAATTTTGATTGTGTGCATGCAGTGGCAATATTCGGAGCGGCTGGTTCGCCTCAGGCATCACTTAATGTAGGTGCATAAAATTAAAACTAATAACAAAATACTCTTCTAAATATAAATCTACATCCAAATTATGCTTTACATACTTTACTTACTGATCAGCTAGATTACATGCCTTACAACTTTTGAAAATAAATATAATTGGCCATCCCATGATGATGTAGATACTTGGAGGACTGGTAGGCTGCAGCATCTTTTTCCGCGCAACTGTTACATACACTTCTGAATATGGGCAAGACATGATTGCCATTATAGGTTCACAGTGCGGACTAAAATTCATCAAGAAGATCGTGGTAGATTTTATTGTTCATAACGTGGATCCTTCCCCTCATGTCAATGCCATTTTAAGGAATTTAAAAGTCAACAAGAATCTTGAGAATTTGCATTTATGAAGAATCTCAACCATTTTGGAGGACCTTGTTCTCGTTGGAGTTATAGTCTCATTTTAATTAGCACTAAATCATATTAGTAATCGCTTAATTATGGGTTAGTTTTTGTTTACTTTGGACTTTAGCATATAAATCATGTCAAGGCGGGTTGGTTTGGCGGGTACTTGGGTTTTTAATTTGAACAGTTTAATAATTAGTATCATGTTTTTTTTTTTAATTTCCTTTTTGTTCGAAAGTGAAAGACCTCTTTTTCTTTCTCAAATATGAGAATCAAGAATTAAAGAATTGATTACATTTCCTTTACCCCTACCCCATAAATAAGCGCTTTATTTATTTAAGGCTTTTTATACTAAATAAATAGTTCTTGAGGTTCATGAAATTATCTTCTTCTTTTTAAAAAAAAAATTGGATGACAAATGCTCGTAGTCCTAATAATTTACGTGGTGTTTCTTGAAAAGGAAAAAAAAACAAAAAAAAATTAAGGATGAAAAGAGAAAGACCAAATGATTTTTTATTTTTTATTTTTGCTCTGAAAACCAATTATAATAGGCCAGGCAATTTGCTTTTGTAATTGGAATTTGGATGTGGCGGTGTTGTGTTCCTTCCAATTCCAACACAAACTGTCAAATTTCGCATCGCATCGCAAGTTCGCAGCCTTGTTTTCACTAGGTAGGTCCTTACTCTGCTGCACCCAAAACAAATTTATTAAGCTCACGAAACAGGAACACAGAGAGAGAGAGAGGGCAAAGAAGATGTTGTTTCAAGTGGGAGGCCAAGGGACTCGTCCCACCTTCTTCGAGATGGCGGCGGCTCAGCAGCTCCCCGCCAGTCTTCGCGCCGCTCTCACCTATTCCATCGGCGTAAGCTCTTCCTCTATCTACTCTCTTCTTCTTTTTCTCTTTTGTAAAAATTTGATTGTTTGCAACTCTCTTTGTTTCTGGGGTTTGGTAGGCTGAGAATGATCTTATCTCTAAATGTTAATTTCAACAGGTATTAGCTTTACGAAGACCATTCCTCCATAGGGTGTTAGACTATGAAGACGAATTCTTTTCGTTGCTCATGCTAGTTCTCGAAACTCATAGCTTGAGAACTACAGGTTTTCTGATTCATATTTTGCTCCAGCAGTTACGAATTTACTTTATTCTGCATCTGACTGATCAATGACAGTGACCATCTACGATAATTTTGTCTTCTGGGTCCTATTCTCTTCAGATGCTTCCTTCTCTGAGTCTCTATATGGATTAAGAAGGCGGGCTGTGAAGATAAAAGCCATGAAGGATGATGCTCGCCTGAACCCAGGTGATGGAATTCAGCATTCTGGGTTAGAAAAGCGCCAAAGAGTTCTGTCAGTTGTATTTTTGGTACGGTCTCCTGCTTATTGTGTTTTCGCAAGATAGGGCTATGTAGTTTTCTTTTGTCTTATAAGTCTAGCTATATGAAAGAGGACTGAATTGTGAACGAATATGTACTAGGTTGTATTGCCTTACTTTAAGTCGAAATTGCATTCAATCTATAATAAAGAAAGGGAAGCCAGACTTCAAGCAAGCTTATGGGGACACGTTGATGAAAGATTTGATGATGCTGATATATTTGATAGAGGGGAGGATTCTGTTATTCCAAGAGGAAATTTGGATATGGAAGCATCAGTTAGAACGCGTTTGACTAAAAAGATCCAGAAATTTATAGGTGCTTGCTATCCTTTGCTACATGCTAGTACTGAAGGTGTGTGCATCTTTCTTGCTGACCTTTATATGCAAAGAATAACTTTCATCTTTCGATTTGGATTTTGTTTTTAATTTTTTGCTCGAACATATTTGTAAGGATGTGCATGTTATGCATAAACCAGCAGTAGAAACTGAGGGAAGTTACTTAATTTGTGTAATTATAGAAGTTTTACTTTCAAAAGACTAGTACTTGCGTTCTTTTTCTTTACAATAGATAATGTTGACATGAAGCTCTTTAAACTTAGTCTATTAAAAGATTATATATCTAAAGTCCCCTTAATGTTGTTATGTTTTCAATGTACGATGTTACATCTTCACAGTGAATCTATCTGTTGATGTCTTTTTAGGAGTATTCTAGGTCCTTTATCTGTATTTTACCATATGAACCTCTGGTTAGATAATACATTCTAACATAGAACTGGTGATGCAGGATTTTCATTTGCTTATCAGATGTTATACTTGTTGGATGCAACTGGATTTTATTCCTTAGGATTACATGCTCTTGGGATTCATGTCTGTCGAGCTACAGGGCAAGAGCTGGTATTGTGTGGCAAAAATTTCTTTTGGTTCTCATCTATTTATCCTTTTATATTTTTCAGTGCATTTAGTCAGGGATTTTTGGTACAATATACTTTTATCCGTTGAATTTTGTTACATTTATGAGATTGAAAAGGAGAAGAAAAAAATGATAGTTGGCGTGGCTTGGTGATGACTTCTTGTTTCTTTGTATATGTTTCAATAGTTGAAACACAATTTTTTGGTGTCAAGGTAGATGGATACATCTTCTAGAATTTCAAAAACAAGAAGCCGTGAACGTGAGAGACTTCGTGGTCCTCCATGGTTGAAGGTATGACTACATTTGGTTAGTTTGGTTAATAGTTTTAATTAAGTCTTTTTAGTTTGATTCTTAGTCATATTGATTTGAAACATGGTACGATAGTAGTTGACCTTACATATGCAAGTAGTCTGCTATTATTATTATTGTGTTTGATTAGTAATATTCCACGAGAAAAAGTACAAATTATGTAAAGATTATGACCTTGGTTGACCTTGGTTGTTCATTTCTTGCTATCTGACATGAATCACCATACAGGCATTACAAGGAGCATTGCTCAGTGGTACATACACAGTTCTCGATTATGCACAGACTGGGTTAATTGCAGCAGTATTCTTTTTTAAAGTAAGCATGGCTTACCCATATGTGATATTAAGACCTTTGTAATTATGGAACAAGCATAATAATCTTTAATTTGACTGGTGGCATAGTCATTTTTTATCACATGATTCTCATTGTAACTTTCATTGATTTGAATTAAACTCATAGATGATGGAATGGTGGTACCAATCTGCTGAAGAGAGAATGTCAGCTCCAACCATATACCCTCCACCTCCTCCACCTCCACCTCCCCAGGTGAAGTGTTTTCCAATCCATCTTGGCTTTAATTTATCATTTTCTTTAGAATTTAATAGCACTTCCAATCAATCAAAGAGTTGGTATGTTGTCCATTACTGTAAACAGGTTGCCAAAGAGGGGATTCCACTGCCACCCGAGAGAACTCTTTGTCCTCTCTGTTCACAGAGGCGTGCGAATCCATCTGTAATTACAGTTTCTGGGTTTGTCTTTTGCTATGCCTGCATTTTCAAGTATGTTTCTCAGGTGAGGCCTTCAGAAGCTGTTAATTTTAATATTCAATAGTCGATGTTTTATGTGGATAAACACACTTTCACATTCATTGGGAAAGTCTGACAAAGGCTGCCCTTTGGAGTGAAGTATATAAACTGACATTGCATACTGTCAAGTACATCACTATGTCTGCATATTCCAAGCAGGCAAAGAAAGTCAGTGTTTGTGTTGTCCATGCATCAAGTTATGTTGTTTTTCCATAGCATGTAACTGAATGTCTTTTTATGGGTCGTTATTGACACAGTATAAGCGATGTCCAATCACATTGATGCCAACCACCGTCGACCAGATAAGGAGGCTCTTTCACGATGTGTAGAAAACCCAGTTTGGGTCCATGTCTTTTGTTTTTTTTTTTTTTTTATCGTAGGAGAAATAGCACATCTCCCTTTCAGAGGATCTTGTAACTGATTCAAATATAAGGCAAAGATAGGGGAGTGACTACTGTCAAAACAAATAAATGTTGTATCGGGGAAACGGAAGAATGATGTATTGAGTATTTTGTTCTACTACCGTATTACAGAGATTTTTAGCTTTTGCCTTCCCATGTAAGAAAATTTCTTTGTTTTAGTCATTACATATTTTTCATGAGTTGTCACAGGTCAATACTACACAGACGTACAAACTGCACCTTCAATTGATGCGACCATTTTACGCATGTCCAATTTTGTATTTCCCTGACGGGTTCGTCTCTGTTAGTTTATTAGTTGAAATTTTCAGTACTTAATTAGTTAAATACTGAACGTAAGATAATTTCCTTATGAAAGAACAATTAGAAAAATAACAAAATTACATAAATATCTAGCAGACAACCGGATTACATGAATATCACAAATACTGAATATCCCATCTCAGACACCATTGCTATAATTTGTAGCTAAGCTTCAAGTAGACCCATGTCTAAAGCTCTCTCCAATTTTGCCTCAAATGCAGTAGACTTCCATTTCACTTTCTGATCCTGCACAATCAAACCACGTTTAACCCACAAGTCAAGTAATTACATAGCATTTTTTTCAAAAAGAAGAGAAAAACTTTACTCTTACCTCTCTGTTTCTCCCTGCTGTTCTTGGCATTCCGCTGCAAGAAGAGCTTGAGTCTGAATCCATGGTCTGACCAGTATGACACCAGTAGCTCCCAACAGTGCCTATGATCGGTATCTGGTCCGGACTTGGGCTTTGCGACCGTCTCGGGGTAGAAAAAGCAGACAACTGTTTCATCTCTTCAGTTGTCCAAGCTCCTAAAATTGGCCTATCTTCACGGCTTCTGGATGAGTTTGTCACTCTCTCACAAAGTGAGTTGTTCCCCACAGAATTGTTACTGGCATTGGACTTGGGCGTGTTCTCAGATTCAACCAACCAGCTTGAAAGGCTAGTGTCAACCCCAGTTCCCTGGTCATCGGACTTTGGCCTGGGGCAGTGTTTTGACAGCTTCAAAGTAGGCTCTGGGCTAAAGGGTACATAGCAATCTTGCTCTGTATTTATGTTCTCCTTCTCGTGGTGCTTTGAAGCTGTGGAAGTTGCTTTCTCTTTGACCTCCTTCCATTGAGTAAGATTTTCAATGGGCTTCAGCAATGATTGATCCCTAGCATTTTGGTTTGATCCTATTAGATTAACTTCCTGGTTAGAGGCACTGAGCTTTGGCATTGGACTGTTGACCTCCTTCTCATCTATTTCAGCATCATAAACTTGTTTCCTGGAATCTATCGATAGTGAAAACAACGAATCCGAAGACTCTTCTTGAATTGAGATTTGCTGCTTACTATCAAACTCATCATCGACATGTCCTCCTTCATAATCATCAGCTGCATCCAAATCACTTCCATCTAAGTCTACCACATCTTCATATTCATCCTCATTGTTTTGGCAATTTTCGTATCTTTTGTTTAACGGATGAGATGGTGCTACGCTTGATATAATGGAACCCAGAATCGGTTCCATCTCTTTTTGTATTTCCTCTTTCTCGTCAGAGCTTTCCACCAAGCCATTGGTGACTTCCTTGGTAGTGGTAGATGATTCTTCATGATGGACCTTGGTATTCAAATCAAACGTAACTTTCTTCTTGGCATCATTCTTTGATTGTTCTTCATTCTCCTCCTCTCTGTATACATTTATTAATGACCATAAATAAATCCCCACATATTAAATACCCCTTCCCATTTAACTTTTTTTTTTAAATGTATAATAAAAAAACCCACAAAGGCATAAACTCAATGAAACAGATGCTCCCAAAAAAGAAACAGAATCAAGATCGAAGCTATAACAACGGATAGAGCTTACTTTGATTCTTTGGTGAGTTTAATGGCTTCCAAAACGTCTTCTAGCTTTGTGGGTTCAGCATGTTGAATTTGAACAACTTTTTCAGTAGCTTTAAGGCTCTGCAACAAATTAATCTCAGATAAGTAAAATCCAAATTGGGAATAGCAGAGTCTACACTACAATTAGTAAAATGTGATTATGTGAAACGGGAGGGCTTGTTTTGCTTACTTGCCGGTGTTTAAATGGAGTCACGGTGACTGATTTTTTGAGCTTTCGGCGCTTACAACTAGTGAAACATTTTGGAAAGCACCCCATGATTAGCTGCTTTTACAGCTGACTTCTTTCGGATGCCTTTTGCTTTCAAGAGAGAGAGAGAGAGTGTGTGTGTGGTTTAGAAAGCGGTCTTCATGGTTTAGACTTCAGAGAGAGAGCGAAGAAGACTGAGGACGCAACGGTCACAAGAGAGTCTGATTGAAGAATCTGGAGCTTGAAAATATGACCGTTGAGATTTTCTTCGGCTTCGTTTAACAGAAGTTAGTTCGGGTGGGCTGAGAAGAGAGGGGGTGTCATTTTCATCCAGCCCAAGTTGAGGCAGTTGTTTTGGGCCGGTGGAGCCTAATTGGCGGCTTGTTATGAAAGTTAGTGGAGCACGAATGCCAATTAAATTAGTCCTTGCTTTTTAAATTGCACAATTATTTTCGTGGGACCGAATAACGTATGTATCAGCATGACAAACTGACAACGAAAGGAGAGGAGACAGAGCCATTTCGCAACTCGCGAAGAATAAGCCAAATAAGCCGGTGGGATCCACAAGTAGGTCCTCCAAAAATGTTTATTGTCATGGAACGCAGTGTCGTCGAGTGCCACGGAGAAGTGCTCTATCTTCTCTGGCTGTAAGTAGTAACTTTTTATTTTTTATACAAGCTATAATATATTTTAAATTAATTTAAATTATAAAGAGATAAATTTAAATTCGGATGTAAAATAAGAAGCACCTCTGCCCTAACCAAGAGAAACGATACATTATAAATCCCAAGTGTGAGGCGAGCAGCCCGTACAAAGTCCTAGTCTTGTGAAAATGGAGTTTTCATATATCTCGCAACTGAATATATTCATTAATTGTTTTACAAGTATGATTTTTTTCAGCTCCTCTAATAATAATAATATTATTATCAACAATAAGTGGTCCAACGCTAGTTTTGGGATCTTTTTGCTGTACGTGTCGGTGGATAAAAAGAAATTTACCAAGTGGCTGGCCTTGTGTCAAGATTAGCATCTCATCATATCAACTTGGACTTTTCAAATTGGATGTACAAGTATAAACTATTCCCACATGCAATTACTATACTACCCTCGACGACTTTACTTTTGAGTCTTTATCAATTCATTAAAAGTGGCGATTTCTTCACTCCAATTTTATCTACTTACACTTCATTTTATAACTAAAAAAATAGTGTAAGTGCATAAAATTAGAGTGGGAAAATCATTACCCTTCATTAAAATAAATAAATTTTCCAATCTTAGATGTGCATGATCAGCAAGGGACGGTAATAGAATGCTTGCCAACAACTACATAATTATAATTTAATCAAACGATATCAATAATACAGAGCACCAACTAATTATTATTTTTTTCATTTTTTTATTGGCCAAATACCCAATAAATGTTAAGCTCTCATAGGACCAAAATAAAAAGTGGGGAAGGAGCAAGTGTAAGTGTCAAGTCTAGAACATACTAATACGCTATATGATGGAATCAATTAATCAAATTCGTGTCTTTTACAAGTTAAGAGCTTTTCCTAATTTGCACTCAAAACTTTATCATACAAATACAACCCATAAAATAATGGGAGAGGTCCATCATGAAACGTAGTTTTTGGGAGGCAGGTGGTATTTGATAACGAGCTGGAAATTAAAGGTCTTGTTCTACCTGCACCATAAAAACACCATCTTTTTCTTTCAGTTGGGTTTTGTGCCATGTGTCCACTGTGCATCACTGTATCTTAGACACTGACAGAGTCTCTTTGCATAAACTGCATAAAAATCTTAACAACGTCGAGTGGATGGCCATGAGATGTCTGTTTCCTTCTTGAGAAACTCAACAAATTCACACACACGAAGAAAGTCACAAACTTTCTCTCTCTGTGAAAGTACTGTATTTCTTGGTTTTGCTGAGATACCCATTTCAATTTCGGTTGCTCTTTTTTCTTTTTTCTCAATTAATCAAAGGTACACATAATTGAAGACAAAACTCTTTCCAAATTTTCTGTTTTGGTGTTGCTTTTGGCCATGCTTATCTCTTTCTCCAAACTGTTTGCTGCTTCTTTTGTGGCGTGTCTCTCTCTGCATGGGCTCTCTTTATGCGTTTTGGTTTTGTTGCCTCTGTTGCTTCCGTTTCTCTTTGACATCCAAGTGAACTATATAAATTTTTTTCCTTTTACTTGATACAAGAAGATATTTTGTGATTCATTGTATTCTAATACTCTCTCTCTCTATTATTATCTTTTTTTTTTGGGGGATATATATTTTACTTTAAAATGTAAAATTGGTCCCTGTGCTTCTGCAATTTCTATCTTCATTTAATGGTGTCTTTACTAATCTTATATTAACCAGCAAAATTAAATTTGATTAAAAAAATATAGTTTTTGAATGTCTATCTTACTGAATTTGCTGATTTTTCATTGTTAATGCAGTGATGATAGTAATATTTTCCATCACTAGTGCAATATTCTGGCTCGAGTTCTGCATTTCTGATTGGAAATTTCATTTATTTTTGCAGTTGGAAGGAAGATGAAGGTGGGCCACCAAATTTTAAGGTGATATGGATGGTTGAGATTGACAATTTTTGTGATTTTGTTCCTTCATTTGGTAGATTGGCATAAGCCCTGTTCTCATGTTTCTCTGCTTATGAAAATCTCATACACAAAAGTAGAAAGTAAAAAAGAAAATAAGATAATTAAAAGTTAAGTTGCTTCATGTGATTGCAGTGATGAGTTAGTTGGCGTCTCATGAAATTCCGGTGAAAAAAAGCTTCAGAGTAGCTCTTGGGTTCTTTGATTGATCCTTAAAGGTGAAAATGGAACCATTAAATCAGAAGTCGCTTGAGAGAGCTTTTTCTCAGAAGGCTTTGCAAATGGGGAGTTCATTTCCATGCCAAATTTGTGTGGTTGGTTTTCTGTGTGGAGTTTGTCTCACTTCTCTGTTTCTGGCTACTCTTACTTCATTTGGTACTTTTGAGTTTGGTGGATTTTCATTTTCGACCATTTCCGAGGGTGCTTCAGCTGGGAATTCAAGCTCAGAGATCATCAGTGAGTCAAATTTTCCTGATAAAATCTTCAATTCTTGTCTTCTTTAAAGTTCATTGTTTTAATGGACGTGGGTCTTTTCTGCCTTTTCTTTTCTCTACTTGCCTTGCTTGCTTTAAATCCAAGGAAAAGGAAAGTTGGGAATGAAATAATTATGCAAGGGACAGAAGGCAGAGAAATAAAATTTGCCAACGTTAATGAGTTTGGTCGTTCAGAAACTTCTTAATGAGGTTTAATTAAAAGGTGTATTCAAAGCCACTTAAAGTTAGAATGGCTTCTTCATCAACACATTTCCTTCACTTCAATATTTGACTTTGACTATACTTGCTAGTTGAATGTCTGCTTTGATTATGAAGATAAGCCCTCCCGTGACGAGGTGTAAATCTGATGCCTTTAGATTCTTTCTTTTTTGGTGACCCTTGACATTAGTTCCAAAACACTCATGGCACCTCTGTGACTTCCAGATTCAATTCACACCTGCGTTGTAGATAAGAAGAACAGTGCTTCTTTTTTTGGTAAATACCACTAGGTGTCCCTACACCCGAAATGTGGGATTAATCCCCGCTCGGGGTTCGGCTTGCCCCTGGCCACACAGTGCTTTCAACGGGTTACGAACCGAAGAACAGTGCTTTCAATCATTGGCATGCATTGAATAACAAATTTTATTTTTGGAAGCTGTCTATCAAAGAGATTAATTTCTGGTTTTGAATTAACGATATGGTTGCAGGCACAAACTTCAGTTTTAAACCGATAATCAGAACAGAGAGAATAGTTGATTCACTGAGAAGTGAAGAAATGATCAATAATGAGTCAGTCTCATTGTTGTATTCAGCTTGGAGTGCTTTACTGACTGAATCAGAGTCTGGAGAAAGTGATGACTTGCAGAGACTTGGAGTAAGCACATCTCGTGTTCCAAATGCCCCTCATTTGGAAAACTGCAAGTTAAAAACACGAGTAAATGAGCGCCTTGATAAGCGTGCTGAGAATGAGACTTATCCTCCCTGGACAAGTTGGAAAGGGTTGTTGGCCAAGTACCCAGCAGCTGCAACTAACGAACATCAAGCTACATCTGAAGGTGCTTATGCTCCCTGGGTATGTTTCTAGGATCTGAAGTTCAATAACTATTTATTACTGTAGAACAACAATTTGGAAGAATGAGCCATAGCTGTCAATGAAATCATGCATATATTTCTGATATGTACATATGCATTTTGCACATGAGTTAATTCGTGTCTACACACACATGTTTATTCAATTCAATAATCCAACAATGAAAGAACTTAAGAGTCTTGGGTCCTGAATTTCAAGACCAATCAGTTCTTGTTTTTATCAGGATTCCCCATTCTGCATAGCTAGCAAGAATGCAAAAGGAACCGCAACCCATCTGCCTCTAATCTTACATGGTTGATGAGCTCCGTATTTAAGCACATAATGTGCTATATTGACACGTCTGTACATTATTAATCACGGCATAACCTTGAATTTTTATGTTGCTCTGTGAGATAAGATGTTGTGTTCTACAATCTTCCACAGTTCTACTAATATGCAAGTTTCTTCAGATTACAGGGTCTGATGAAGAAAATTACCCCTTGACCAGAAAAGTGCAACGAGACATATGGATGCATCAACATCCTTTGAACTGCAGGGATCCTAGTGTAAAATTTCTTGTAGCTGACTGGGAAAGATTACCTGGATTTGGAATTGGGGCCCAGATTGCTGGAATGTGTGGGCTTCTAGCTATTGCAATCAATGAAAAGAGGGTCCTTGTTACCAACTACTATAATCGGGCAGACCATGATGGTTGTAAAGGTTAATATCATGATTCATGACATCTCACTTCAGTGGTTTTAAATGGTTTTAATTCTTATATAAAGATATTATTTTCTTGTTTTTCTATTTCTCTCATCACATAGTGAACAAGTTTGAAACATCAACATAGACCTCTTATTTTCTATTTGTAGATTCATCCCGCTCCAGTTGGTCTTGCTATTTCTTTCCTGAAACATCCGAAGAATGTCGAGATCGCGCATTCGAGCTTATGGGAAGTGAAGAAGCCTGGAAAAAAGGCACAATAAAGGCAAAAGAAAGTTATAATTCAAAGCAAATATGGGCTGGACCTACACCTAGGTGAAAATTTTCATCTAGAACAATTTCATTGTCAGTTCACTTCTCAGTATTTGGCAGCACATAACTTTTTTCATGTCACCATGCCAAATATTTAATGCAGAATATGGGGTGATCCTTGGAATCATTTGCAACCTACCACAGACATCAATGGAAGTTTAGTTGCTTATCATCGCAAAATGGATCGGAGGTGGTGGAGGGCACAGGTAATCTGTATAGGTCTTCTATAAATGAATTATATCTTTGCTTTTATAAATCCAATATATTCATGAAAGACACGAAAGCTCTGCCAGACGCCCACCCTTTTCATGAAAATGTAGAAATAAATGCAAATCTCATACGTACATTATAGTTTTCTTCCCCCGTTTTTTCAAGAGGACATTGTCGGATCCCATATTCTGGTACACTCAGACACATTGAGCATTTTCCTTGCATCATTAACATTTTTGAATGAGGCACCAACAGTATCCTTTATTCAGTTACACATAATCACTTTGATTTTCGATATTTGATTTTATATTGTTACATTTATGTCAGGCAGTACGATACTTGATGAGATTTCAAACTGAGTACACATGTGGCTTATTGAATGTTGCTCGTCATACTGCATTTGGAAAGGAAGCTGCCAATATGGTCGTCACAACTTTTGAAGGGAAATGGCCTAAGGTTTGTTGGACATATATCCCATCTGCCCTGTTTTTCTTGCAGGACAGAGGTAAACAAACAATTATGCTTTACAATTAGACGTTTCTTGCAGGATGCTACAGTCGATCAAAGGTCTGACATTGAAGAATTTGTTTGGTCTAGTCACAAGCCTTGGATGCCTAGGCCACTACTCAGCATGCATGTAAGAATGGGAGACAAAGCATGCGAAATGAAGGTAGTTGAATTTGAAGAATACATGGGTCTTGCTGGCCGCATTAGAAAGCGCTTCCCACAGCTCAAGAGTGTTTGGCTCTCCACTGAAATGCAGGTTTAGTTTTGTTGCATTAACACCATCTTTCCAAATAATTTTAGAAGTGATGGCTCATGAGGCTTAAACCTAACCATTAACAATCTTCAGGAAGTCATTGACAAATCCAGAAGTTACCGTCACTGGGACTTTTACTACACGAACGTGACCCGCCAAGTCGGAAACATGACAATGGCAACTTATGAAACGAGTCTCGGCAGGGAGACTAGCACAAATTATCCACTTGTCAATTTCTTGATGGCAAGTGAAGCTGACTTTTTTGTTGGAGCATTGGGTTCCACTTGGTGCTTCCTTATAGATGGAATGAGAAATACCGGGGGGAAAGTTATGGCCGGATACTTGAGTGTCAACAAGGACCGGTTCTGGTAGAGATCCATCTAAACTACAGGCAATGAGAATTATAGATATGTAAATCATTAGGGTCAACAATTTTGTTGTCTGTATATCAGTATGTATTATCTACCTCTTAATCATGTAAGTTATGTACATGCCCACATAAGCAAAGATCCATTAGGAAAGACTTTTAACATGGAACGTCTATGATTTGTTACTTTTGCTCGAGAGTGTGTTCGAGTTGAGTGCGATAATACAAGTAGAAATGTGTTGACTTCCATTTTTGTTTGTGTAGAAGTAGAACTTCCCACACTTTATATTGTTCACTTCACAAGAGATTTTCAATTACAAATTTACTATTGTAAATTACCTAAAATAAAAATATAAAATATAGGTATATATATGTATCCAGTTATTCTCTTATCCGGATGTCCAGATTTTCTTACCGTACGAATGCCATTCTTGCAGCTATATTTCTTAGCTCTAAAGCTTGTTTTGTATACCCACTGCTTGTTGAAGCATATGAATAAAAAAGACGGGGAGAAAAACCGAGAAAGGGAGGAAAGCAGTGAAGAAAACTGAAAAACAATGGCGTCCTTACGATTAGAAATTCCGGACGTCCTAATGAGAACTCCTTAATGGGTGGGACTTTATTAGATTAGCATCTACAAAAGTTAGAACCTGACGTAGAGTAGAAGACTTGTTTTTGCTGCGTTTTCATGACTTCATCAGGTATTTGGATTATGCTATACACCTCATATAGTTTACATATATATTATCCGAAAAACTGATATAAATTAGTTTTTCTCTCTTGAAAGATTATGTGTTTAATGAGATGGAGAAGGATGCATATGAAGGCACGATCAGAAAGACCACCTGAGAAAAGTTGTATGTAATGTGCATTCTTTGCGTAAGAAATTTCGCTAAGGGTTGGTTTGGGAATATCAATTTTCATTGGATTTATGGATCCCCAAACATGATTTTGGAAACCAGTTCTCAAATTTAGTCTTAATCTCTCAATTTTCATTGAAAAAAAGAAGATGAAATCATCCCAACTCCGTACACTGCCAGCCACCGGTAGACCAGGGGGTCGGTGGCCTTCCTCTATGTTCCTGCTCTCTCTCTAATTTGATATAAACCCAAAACTCTTTTGCAAAATGTTTACCCAAATCTCAGTTTTCTAAGACAGGTCAGGTCAGGCAGAAGTTGTTCTAACGCGAGGGAAAGGTTAATAGGCAGGTGCAATGAGTAGCATAAGTTCTGACAAAACCGAACTTAGTTGTTATCATCTCGTGAAAGTTAAATCATTTTCATGTAAATTATTAGAAGTGCAAACCATGCAGAACCAAAGCAGCTAGTGTTAGCTACAATGACAAGCGCATGCGGAGATGACCAGCCACAAAAATGTGAACTTGACAAAAAACAACTTGGATAAAAAGATTGATGTGAACGATAAATTAGAATGAGAGAAGCTATTAGAAAAAGACAAGTCGGTTCCTCTCCGATTTCACAGCACATAACAATACAACAATTGAAGAAGATATCCCTTCTTCTAAATCAACAATTAAGGGCCTAAAACGTATCTGGTAACACTTCCACGATATAATCCAAAGTGAAGAATATAGGTCAGGAGTGCACAAGAATGGGCTTTACCTCATTTTTGTCCCACCAAATCCCCTCTTAGAGGCAAAGTGACTGTAATTTATGCAAAACTATTCTTCGGCATCCTCACTTGCCTGATGTCCCCCATCACTAGCCTTGGCTGTTGCATGTTTCCTGTGTTTCTTGCTCTTAGCTTTCTTGGCTTTCATGCGGCGTTTTTTCTCATTGGCATCAACCCAGGTATAATCCAATGGTATGAGGAAAGGGTCAATCTCATCCTTATATCGGTGGCTATCGCTGTCACTGGATTGCCCACCACGACCCCCTCTTACCCATGATATCCATGACGAGGATCCTTCTGATTCCTTTGACTTTGCATCCTGAAAATGTGCTGGACTGGAGAGAGGGGTTGAAAACTCCTCCAATGGCTGAAGCTCCTCAAATTTCGTAAAAGTTACAAGAACTCGTATTGTTGGGACGATTGGGATAGCAACCTGTAGTAGGGAAATGCAACGTTAGGTTGACATTCAAAGGCTGAAGAAAGATTTACACGATGCAACTCTTTCAATTAAAATTGAACCCTGCGAAAGAAAGATTAGTCATGCAATATCAGTTTGAAGGGACTTGTTTCAGGACAATTTTTTTCTTTTCTGGTGCGATTAATTAAAAAGCACAGTACCTGCCAAACACAATAGTCGACCAAATATGACTTGAAAATGGACCATTCCCAACCAAAAATAAGGCACAAATCAAGGTTCAGTATCCAAATAATCATTTAGAAGCTTTGGACCACTACCAACTATAACAATATGTTCATTAGCCTTTGAATGAATCTTATTCCTAAACTCATGAAAACTTTTACTGGTTTATGAAACAAAAATGTTATCAGGTGATTTATTATAGAATTTTTATTTTTATTTTATTTAAAAAAAGAGGTGATTTATTATCGAAAGTGGATAGCATGACCTAATCAACAACAAAACTGCATAAACAAACAATGGAAAATAGATTGAAACAATAGTCTATAAAGCTAAAACTTTTGGATTACCTTGACAGGAAAAGTGCCATGGGGCAGTTTAGTAGTCAAAAGCTCCCTGAGTCTCCTTATAGCCTTGACCTTGTTTGCTAAGATGTCTAGTAAAGGAAGAAGCTCATCTGTTTTCAAAGGGAAATCTGGTGTCAACCACAAGACAGGCCTCAGACCCTTTTTGTACTCACTCTCATGCTTAGCATCACTAGCCACTTTCTTCTTTTTCTTCTTACTGTTTTTATCTTTTCCTTTCTTAGCATCTGCAATATCATCTCTAGGAAATTCAGATGATGGTTTTTGATGATCAAGTGATTTCTGGTTGCCACCTTCTGGGGCCAACTTTGAGAACTTCTTCAAAATCCTTGGATCTTCAGAATCATCATTTCCCTTTGAACTTTTCTTGTTCCAACCAAACCAACTCTTCTTCTCCTTAACAACACCGTTGGATTCACAATTCTCATAGGATCCTCCCAAAGCATTTTCATGGCAGTCAGAGACCTCATCCTCACAAGCACCATCTGAGTTCCCTCGAAGTGCAGAATCCAACTGCATTTTTTCCTCAGCAGTCAATACATCATCATATTCATCATTATCACCCCCATTTGCCACCCTTTCTTCATCGTCCACTGCAAAGAGCTCCTCATCGGTCATAGCACCAGGAACCCGCCTTGACTTCACACTAACCATCACGTGAAGCATATCATAAACTTTGGCCTTCCAATTTCCAACCATCTCGGTCCTCTCTTGTCGCCTCCAATTTAAATGGGGAACAAGCTCAGCCTGAGTAACATCAATGCCTGGCCTATACATATTTGTCTGTGACATCAAGGCCACTTCATGGGCAACTTCAGCTTCGGTTGGTTGGGCACCAGCTCCTTCCAAAGCATTTGTGATTTCTTTCTCCTTATGTGCAAGAACAATCAAAGAACCAGGTGCCAAATTCACATTACCATCATCTGAAGAGTACCCCTCTCCAAGAAACAGAAATGTTTGATCAGACCTTTGAATTCGAAACCCATCAAAGCCAGCAAGGGTCATGTCAGCTCGAAGATTAGAACCACGCTTCCAAATGCGGTAAGTATCCGATGGGGCAATTCGACCAATAAACGGGATGACTGAGCTCTCAAAGTGAAAACTTATCTCCATGTAAAAATCACGAATACGGGCCGTAGAGGCAACAATACGGGGAAGTCTACGACACCATTTAGCCCATGCAAGGGGCTGGTAGTGCCGTGCAATAATCATAGCAATTGCTTCCTCTCTAGTGCAAACGGCTTCTTGGAGAGCACTCCAACCATTCTCATTTTGAAGACTCCAATCAGCACCAGCCGCCATCAAAATCTCGGCTGAGGTTGGGTCACGGAGACGCACTGCTAGATGAAGAGGAGTCTCACGACCAGGAACATCTCGGCGATCAATGACAGCTGAGACAGCATCAGCTCGGAGCTCAGCCTCAAGAGATTCGGCTTCGGTGCTTACTTCACTGGCCTTGGAAAGCCGAGGGAGGGTAGAGATAATGCGCCTGAGGGCAGCATAGTCACGGCGTGCAACCGCCAAATGAGCTGGACTCTGGGAATATTTAGAAAAATCTTCCATTGATTCTATGGATTTTACTGTTCTCTCAGTTCCGAAGCTAATGTTGCTTTCATTTTTCATTTTTGGAAGTAAAACTGAAAACAACTGTTCTCATATCTTCAAGTTTCCACTTCCAAGAACCACAAACGACGCCTAGGGTTTCACACCAACAAAATCTACCAACTTAGGATTCTTTTTACTAGTGTTTAGCCCCATGGATTCCCAATCCAGAAGACTCAATATGAACTGAGTCCGGATAATCCGCTTCGGAATCAAATCAGACTTAATTATCTCACCTTTGCCAAATCTTTAAGCATTTTTGCAGCTCAATCTCCGAATCCCAGCTATGGATCTTGAGCTCCATCATAGTATATAGAAACTACCAGACAGCCTCAAATCTGTAAAAGAAAGAAACAAGAGATATAAACAAAATCAGCTTAGACCACCGAGCGACCTTGTACAAATGAAGCACAGATTTATGCACCAATAACCCAAATTAAAAATCATTACTTTCTCTTGGTTGCCGAAAATTGTATAACAAAACAATTCATTCTATATACTCTGTATCTAACGAAAATGAAACAACCTATTACCATAGCTAAACTTAATTATCTACATTTTTTTTTCCAAATAACACCTAAAAAGAATCAGAATTTCAGTTTCATTTATTTTATATTTCATTCTCCGAGCAACCAAATAGAAAATGACTCTCTTTCGCTCTCCAAAAATAGAACAAAAAAGCAAGAAAATACCTGGGAAAGCAAAAATGGATTGGGTTTCAAGTGAAGCTAAGCTCTCTGTTGTTGCCTCTGGTTGTTTATCTTAGGTGGGCTCCAAATTGAGCTGTAGAAGGACAGAGTGGGATAGAGGGAGAGAGATGGAAGTTAATCGGACGGTTGGTGTGGGTTTTCAGATACGGGATCTAACAGTCATGATCTTATTATCCTTCTTCTTCTGGTTCCCACAGTATTATTAGCCTTGAAAGCACAACTGCAGAGGACGTGACCCGACTCGCTCCCTGACTCAGTCCCCCACCTCAGATCTCTCTGTGTATTTCCAGGTTGAGTCTCTTCACTTTTGCTTTTTCTCTGTCACAGTTTTAGAGCGCCATTACACTTTTGCCTCCCTTTTGGCACTAAATTACTTCCTCGCCATCCCCGGCAATTTTCTTGTTTTGGTATGGGAATAAATTATTACAATTTACCAACTCCAGTTCCCCTATCAATAATCCTGGACCGAAAACAACCATCTCACGATATCAGTTTTTATTACTTTTTATTTTATTTTCTCATTTAGTTATAAAAGTGGTTAGCCCCACAACTAGGAGAAAAGTTGTTTCTCTTCTTTCCTAAATAAAGAAGAAAAAAGGTAAAAATTTTCAACAAAAGCTTCGTTCTTTTATTTTAAAATTAAAAAAGATAATACGTAGTTGTATTTCATAAAAATATGATATATTATCTTCTTCTTTTTTTTAATTTTAATTTTTTTAATATGAAAAAATGTGAATTTACCATATTATCCTCATTATTTCAATTCTTAATGTGTACATTAACCAATAACATTTTCAGGTAGTTTGAATGTTTTACCATTCTCAGCATTTTGCTCTCTATATATATAGATATTAAATTAGATAAATTGCTTGATTATTACTCTATAACACAAACCGCTCTATTAATCATGAAGTTATATCCTTACTTGACAATCCAATTAATTTGTGTGTTTTTTGTGTCTTTTTCAGGGTTTATTATTGAGTTAGTAAAATTCATAAATACATACCTTATAACTTTGGACTTTCTATTTCTACCGGATGGTTTGGATTGTAAATCAAGGATTGTTAAGATCATAAACCAATCTACATCTATTAATCATAACATGGTTTTATTTATTTATTATCATATCATGCAATCAACCGATTGGATGTAAGTTTGTGATTATTAATATTTATTTCGTAAGGAAATTAATTACAACGTTTCGCCTTAAATTATGTCACATTATTATAATTTATAACGATGTACTTATACTTAATCGCAAAGGAATAAAATTAATAAACCAACAAGTTAAGGGACTTGTTCAAACAAAACTATAGAAATTATAAAATTTATAATTGTATCCTCTAAAGAAAGAAAGGACCACCGACAGTTGCTGAGAGATTGCATTAGGAGCCTCTAATCCAATCCTCACGTTAAATTTGATTGGCTGGTATTTTTAATACAAATTTATAAATAAACCCAATCTTAGACATGTATTTATAAAAAAACCCAAGCACTATTTAAACATAGAAACACACCCAAAATCAACCCCAAAGTCAACTTTTTGGGTGTGTTTATAAATGGGTTTTGAGTGTGTGTAATGATGGATTTTGGGTGTGTTTATATGTTTAAATAGTGCTTGGGTTTTTTTATAATTTCAGACCCCATTTTGGGTGTTTTAGTGAAACTCCCTATTTTTAAATCATCATCTTAGATATAAGTTCAAAATGATTAGCTGTTATTAGGTTTAGTCCACGCATTTTTTATTTTAGATGTAAGTTCTTTGACATTTATTACTTTTTTTTATTATGTCGATTTTACCCTTTGAGTAAGAAAAACATATTGAAAATATAAATTTAATGCATTATTTTTTTGTAATTGAATTTCAGAATTTAAAATTTGAATTCTTTCCTTGATAATATTTATCTAATTTAATCAATGATAAGTAAAGACCCACATATTATAACAATCGACAAGTACCACATGAAATTATGTACTTGGCATACAAGTAAATAGTGTTATTATTAGCAACGAAAAAAACTTAGTGATAAATCGTGTTACCTATAAGTTAGGAACATAAATTAGAAGACTACATATTAAAAAAAAAGGTATATAAAATACTATTACACATTGTCGAAAATATGAAAAAATACATATATACCCATGCAATAGGCAAGAGGACAATATACTTACATTATGGGATAATATATTTGTACAAGAGTATATAATAATAATAATATATCTACATAATTATTGTAGATCTCGTAATTATAATAGGAACAACTAGATAATTTAAAAAAATTAATAACAATAGATCTACATCAGAAAATACAAAAAAAGAATGTAATCCAATTTGGTAGAAAAGTCAAGGACTTATATCAACGATAACAAATTCGAGGATTAAACCCAACTTATGTTCTCAATTTTGGATTTATCTAAATTTTCTATTTTTGAAATGGCATGGAGTACTTGGTATCCCAATCGTACTAAGTAGTTTTAATTGGTTTCTTTCTGTATTTTAAATTCTAAAACAGTGTAGTTAAGGGTAATACTTAGATAAATGAATTCTTCATGTATATATACTTTAGTTTGCCAATATTATATATACTTAAGTATGGTTTTAACTAATTTATAGTTTGTTTAATTTACTTTATGTAACCGTCATGTTATGTATGAGTTTAATATTACAAATACATCGCTTCGCTCGTATGCTAGAATGATTGGAATACTTTGAATTTTATAATCAATATACATTATATGTACGTATGAAAGTGGATAGAATTCATTTCACATTCACTATCAATACAGGCTAGGCTACTAAACGGACAACGAGAACAACGTTAACCACTTTCTTCTTTGTGAAATTGTGTTGTGCCTCATGTGTACTTGATGTTATTCTACTTATCTTTCATGCCGGCGCCTCTCTTTTTAAAAAGGCTATTCTTTCTGATTTCAAATCCTTAAAGTTTGTTTCTTGTTTTTTGTATTTTGTATTTTATTAATGAGGCATTGGCCCTCGGGGACCATATATAATAATATATAGATATGTCTGAGGAGAGGAGAGGCCACAGCACAGCACACAGGCCGTACGAGTTGCCCTTGATGCTTCTTCTGAACTAGTAGATGGATGGAATGGAACATGCCTTTGCCTCTGTGGCGCGCTTCTTTTTTTCTTGGCTTTGCCCTCACGAGTCACAACACAAAACCAGGCCATGCATGGTGTCCATGGTCCCCTCCCCTCACGCATGCATGTGGCCATGGCTATTCGCTTATAAATTTATAATTGACTAAATCTAAAGCCCTTTTCTTTTTGCTTTTTCAGAATGAAAGCCCCCACACTTGCCCATATACATATATAAATCTTGCATCAGCAAATTCTTTCAGTTGTGTGTTGTAGATAAATAAATAAATATATATATATATATAGTTGAATTAAAATTAATTAAAAAGCATGCATATAGGAGGAGGAGCAGGATATGATGAAATGAGGCTATGATGATGACAACCACCCTTCTACGTATGGTAACAAGCTAGCCACCCATAATTGTTGTTTGTCACAAAAGAAAAAGAAAAAAATGATCATCTATTTCTCTCCTTTGATTTTCAGTCTTTTGCTAGCTATATGATCAAAAAAGCACTTCAAATATTTCATAGGTTGGCATTGGTAAAAATAAGATGAAAAAAATATATTTTTAATCCCAAAGTAATTAGGTAAAATTTGTGAATCGAATTAGTTATGCATTTTTTTCCTTTTCTGGTTGGTGTATATATAATATATCTGTTGGGTGCAAAACTGAAACGAATTGCAAGAGCATAGTATAGCATAATGATAATTACAGATAACTAATTAAGAGGCTGTAGCGCATACCATCAATGGGATTGGTGGGGTGGTGGGGTGTTAAGTGTCAAGCCAAGCCAATCTTATATAAGATGCAACTTCCATTATCCATATTATCTACCCTAGACCTCTCTCTGAGAGAGAGAGAGAGAGAGAGAGAGAGAGAGAGAGAGTGCCACTCAAGATTTTATTTTATTTCAAGAATGACAAGACATTAGGCATCACATTAGTCGGGGTCTTTGGTTGGAAATAAGCCAAACCCCGAAACATTACACATGATTAATTAAAGGATTTTGTCTAATTCACCAACCCCATTATTTTCAACCTATTCGGCTCGGTGCTTGCCTTTTATCAACCATTATGTCCTGATTTGAAGCTCACCCCATTTCTTGTCCAACTACTCCAATTTTTATGCATGAGAGTGAGCAGCAGCCAGCAGACAGCAGAAGTGAAGAAATGACTAATGAGGTTGTGTTTGGTGGGTTTGTTTTTTCTTATTTTACACACACAACACCACTCACATTTGAGTTCCTTATTTTACACACACAACACCACTAATATTTGAGACACACCACAATCTGATTTCTCTCTTCTCCTACTTTCGTACATTCTTAATCATATTATTATTTTTGGACAACAGTTATATGACTTGGAGACTTTTATCTGACTGTGAACGAGCTCATAGATGATCTTGAACTTATATACTGACAGTCATATCTTGGAGTCTTAGAGTCTTTTACAATATTCACGGATCGACCCAAGGTCGGTTGTCTTATTATTGGAAAATAATTGCCAACTGACTTGGTCCATTTGCAGTTCAGGACAAGCCACGTGTAGTGTGTAGTACACGGCCCACATGCTGTAATTCTGGACTCACTGTTTTGAGGTTGGTACCTCCTTGGGTAACTAGCCCAACTCAAAGTAAACCCCACACTCAGATTTTTCAGCTCAGCCCAATTCAGCCTCCCAACCCAAAATCACATCACTCCAAAAGTGTACATTTTCTTAAGTTCAAATGTATACAATGTATACATATATTTTTATGGTTTCGGGTTCTTTTGCGACCCGACCCCAATAGATATTCGCATCCAATATGGATCCATTCAAATTTTGCTTTATGAATCTTCCTAAGTTAAAACGGCCTCAAGTGGATTGGATTAAACCAAATGATTTTAGGGAGATTCACTATTATACTCAATATAAAGGCTTAAATTATAAAAAAACTATGCATAAAATGAACTTAAAAAATACACCCGAAACTCATTTACAATATATAAATTACAAAACTACCATCGATTTCTTAAAGGGAGTTTCACTAAAACACCCAAAATGGAGGTTGAAATTATAAAAAAACCCAACACCCAAAACACTTTATAAACACACCCAAAACCCATCATTATACACACTCAAAACCCATTTATAAACACACCCAAAAAGTTGACTTTGTGGTTGATTTTGGGTGTGTTTCTATGTTTAAATAGTGCTTGGGTTTTTTTATAAATACATGTCTAGGATTGGGTTTATTTATAAATTTTTATTAAAAAAAACCCAA